TGCAGCCCCACCATTTCTGTTTAGTTCCAAAACATCATCACCTCCCCCACCCTCAAATCCCCATACCCATTAAGCAGTCACTGCCCAGCACCTGGCATTCACCAGTATACTTTCAATCTCTATGGATTTATAGATATCAATACCTATTCTAGATATTGCAAATAAATGGAATCATCCAATATGTGGACTTTTATGTCTCTTTTTGCACATGGTATATCCAGTTGTCCCAGCACCATTTGTTGAGAAGACTACTCATTCCCCCAATGAATTGCCTTGGCACTTCCATTGACATCAATAGACCATAAATATAAGGGTTTATTTCTGAACTCTCAGTTCTGTCCACTGATGTACATGTCTACCCCTGTCCCATACTAGTACCAGAATCCTGATAACTGTAGCTTTATAGTTGTTAGTGCAAAGTATGAGTCCTCCAACTTGGTCCTTTTTTCAAGATTATTTTGGCTATTCTGGTCCTTCCCATCTCCATATGAATTTTTAGGATCAATCTGTCAATTCCTGCTTAAGAGATTGTGTTGAATCTATAGATCAACTTGGGAAACACTGTCATCTTAACAATACTGAATCTTCCAATTCATGAACATTAAATGTCTCTCCATTAATTTAGTTTTTCAATTTCTCTCAGCAATAAAAGTTTACAGGTCTTGTACCTCTTTTGTCAAATTTATACTTAAGCATTTAATTCTTTTTGATGCTGCTGTGAATGGAATTGTTTCTTAATTTTAAGATTACTCATTGCTCATATATAGAAATACAGTTCAATTTTGTATACTGATCTTGTATCCTGGGACCTTGCTGGACTTCTTTGTTATTCCTTTCTTTTTTCTTTTTAAAGATTTTATTTATTTTAGAGAGAGAGCACAAGCAGGGGGAGGAACAGAGGGAGAAGGAGATATTCTCCAGCAGACTCCACACTGAGCACACAGCCTGATATGGGACTTGATCCCAGGGGCCCGATATCATGACCTGAGCCAAAACCAAGAGCTGGACACTTAACCGACTAGCCACTCAGGCACCCCTGTTTGTTATTTCTATTAGTTTTTTGTGGATTTCTTATGATTTTCCACATACAGGATCATGTCATCTGTAAACAATGACAGTTTTACTTTCTTTCCAATCTGGTTATCTTTTATTTTGTTTTATTTCCCAATTGTACTAGAGCTTGAGAATTTGTATTTTTTAATAGGTTCCAAGGTGATACTGATGCTGCTGGTCCGGGGACCACACTTGGAGAACCACTGCTTTAAAGAATGTGTATCTCATAATGGAAATGACACTTGAGGCAAGTAATGGAAAAGAAGTAAATATTCCAATATACTACAAGTGTAAGATCCTCTCTACATACTGTGAGGGAAAATGATAAAGTGATTGGAATAGTCTAAGCATAATTACTTTGGAAGAAATACATAAACAGAGATTATCCAGTGAGATTTTTGGTGTTCTATACATTGTATGTATGTACGTATGTATGTACATATATATGTACTTATTGATTGATTGATTGGATTGTAAACTCTGTGTCCAATGTGGAGCTTAAACTCATGACCCTGACCAAGATTAGGAGTTGCATGCTCCACTGACTGAGTCAGCCAGGCGCCCCGTCTATATATTTTAAAGGGCTTTAAAAAACTTCAAAATGTTAACATCAATGACTAGAGAAAAGCTAAAATGGTATGGAGTGTCATTTTGGAATTACAATTATTCATAAACAGAGTACCAAGTCAACGGTATTAACATTAGAATCATAATAAAACAGGGGCGACTGGGTGGCTCAGTCAGTTAAGTAACCAACTCTTGATTTCTGCTCAGGTCATGATCTCAGGGTCGTGAGATTGAACCTCGAGTTGGGTTCCGCACGGGGTGTGGAGTCTGCTTGAGATTCTCTCTCTCCCTCTGCCCCTCCCCCTGAATGCACTCTCTCTTTCAAATAAATCTTTAAAAAAAATCGTAATAAAACAGTAACAACAATGGTAAGGTTAATAACGAGTAAGTGTATGGAACACTTATGACAGCCACATACTGTTCTAACTGCTATAATATATTAATTCATTGAATTCTTACAGCCCTATGAATTAGCTATTATCATTATCCCCATCTTGTAGATAAGGAAACCGAGGCACAGAGAATTTATTTATTTAAAAGATTTTATTCATTTGAGAGCGAGCGAGCGCACATGCATGCCCAGGAGCAAGGGGGAGGAGCAGAGGGAAAGGGACAAGGAGACTTGCGCTGAGAGTGGAGCCCAAAGTGGGGCTCGATCTCACAACCCCAAGTGCATGACCTGAGCCAAAATCAAGAGTTAGATGTTCAACTGACTGAGCCACCCAGGTGCTCTGAGGCACAGCGAATTTAAATGACTTGCTCAAGGTCACACATCTAGTAAGTCTCAAAGCCACGATTCCTCCAAGGCACTGTAGCTCTAGAGCCCACTCTTTCCCATAATGCTGTACTCCTTCTCTTTCTTCTTGCCACAGACGATAAAAATTTCCTTCCTCTAAGTCACAAAAGCAATTTTCTACTGCTTTCTGTAAACTTCCCTTTTAATCATTTCAAAGGGAGTCATAAAAATTAGGTTGTTGTGCAACATTTGAGGTGCTTAAAAACAGTGTCTGGGTAGAAGGATGGGTACCTAGCTGTTCACTTGAAAAAAAGGTGTGTGGTGGGTTCTAAAAGCTAGCAAAATTGCAATCTCTGTTCTAGAAGCTCACAGAAGAGGCAGAATGAGAATAATGAGTTCCTTGAGGAGGGTAGGCATAACATGTTTTACCCAGGATGGCTGAATCACACAAAGGAATAAAGCCTTACCAGAAGCTGAAAAAATCTCAATGACAACCCTGCTGATGTTCCTAATTCTAGGTTGTTTGGTGGGTCTTGAAACTTTAAATAGCTCTGCAAAGGGATGTGGTAAGTTCATATGACCCCTCTCTGCTGGAACAGCTTTGCCCTGTCCAAATGAATCTTATTAGTCACCACTCTGGCTATTTTAGGCCCGAGTCTGATTCTGTGGCACTGGGAGAACTACAGCATGGGTTTCTTGTGACAGAGTAAACCTGCCGCTATGGTAAAAGGCCTGTACTTGGGCAATGAAAGGTTCAGCCCCAGGGCAATGTCACAAAGGCCAAAGGAGTAGTAGAGTTAAAAAGGCTAGGGAAGAGTTGAGAAAAAAAAAAAAAGGATAATTAATGGTTTCTTTGGGGGAGGAAATGAACTTCAAAAACAGCTGATCAAATTTCACTTTGGATAGTAAGATTCTTTTTTCTCTCTTGTAGGCTATATTGGTTCAGGTGTATATCAAAGATGGGGAAACTTCTTTGGGCGCCATCTTGATAATGGCATGTCATTAATAATTATTTTTGCCAAGGACTTTTAAAGCAAACAGAGAAGAGCCAGTTTGAATGCCTGACTGCAAAAACAATTAGGGCAGAGGCTTAACTGAGAATCATCATCACCAACAATGACATGTTGCAATTTCCCTTGCTGTAGAGTAGCACAATCCAATAGGACTTTTTACAATGATGGAAATGTCCTATATCTGTGTGGTCTGATTCAGTAGCCACATTTGGTTACTAAGCACTTGAAATGTGCTAGTGTGACTGGGGAACTGATCTTTTAGTTTTATTTAATTTTCATTGATTTAAATTTAAATAGCTACACGTGGCTACCAGCTATCACGATCAACAGTTCAGCTCTACAGCATAATATTGTGGCCTAGTTTCCCCCAAATTCATATAAATGTTCTTCTAAATCTAGAGTTGTATACAATTATTCATATATTTCAGGGTTGAATAGTGAATGTTATTGTGATTTATGACATATCTGAAAATTACAAAGTTTTATAGTTGGCAGGAGTCACGGGCTAAGGAGGACTACTAACCAATCACTTAGAGGAGAGAGTTAAAAATTACTTTTTTATAGTAATAAAAAATAATTCAAATATAAGTTAATTTTAAGACCCCAATATAATAGAGTTTCCTCTGTTGGGAAGAGCAGGGGAAGAGGGGAATGCTGTCGCATGAAATTTTTGAATAGTGCTGGAGTGCCTGGGTAGCTCAGTTGGTTAAGCATCCGACTCATGGTTTTGGCTCAGGTCATGATCTCAGGGTTGTGGGATCGAGCCCTGTGTTGGGCTCCAAGCTCAGTGTGGAGTCTGCTTGAGATTCCCTCTCCCTCTGCCCCTGCCTTCTCTCTCTCTCTCTCTCTCTCTCAATAAATAAATAAATAAATGAATGAATGAATGAATGAATAAATTTTTTTGAATAGTGCTAAAAGACTCCATTATTTTTGTTTGGTGTTTTTCAAAACTTTTTAAAATCAAATGGGCTCCCCATATGGATAATTATCATATTTTTTTTGGTGAGGTAGAGGATAGAGAGAGTGGTAAAAGGAGAAAGGTACCTAGGAAGAAGAATAAAAGGTGAGAAAGGTAATTTGAAAATATTTTCTAGTAGACCAAGGTAATGGGGATTTTTTACTACTTTGTGATGGTTGTCCAATTCTAATCCGTTATTGTTTCCATTGAGCTGAACTCACATTTTGTCAAAATATTTGAGAAAATGGAGATTTTCTCAAATCTCCATTTGATTTGGGTGGCTGGGTGGCTCAGTTGGTTAAGTGTCTGCCTTCAGCTTGGGTTGTGATCCCAGGGTCCTGGGATCAAGTCCCGCATTGGGCTCCCTGCCCGTCAGGGAGCCTGCTTCTCCCTCTCCCTCCTCTGCTTGTGCTCTTTCTCACTATCTTTCTCTCTCTCTCTAATAAATAAATAAATACTTAAAAAAATTAGAAAAAGTAATTATATCTCTGCTATGAATTTTCAGGATAATACAAATCTAAAATGTGGTTAATCTTCCATTTATTATAACCTCTTGTTTAGATTCACACTTAGATATTACCTTAAATGATTTAAAAACCAAAATCTTATTGAAATAAGTTTCATAAGTGAGAATTTAGCTGTAAGAAAGCTTTTTTCTGACTTCTTTAATTACCTTTAGTTTCCTCCTTGCATTGAATTTCCTCAGTTGCTCTACTGTTTCTGGAAGATGAATCTTGTAGGCATAACGATCCCGCTCCTATAAAAGAAAGATAATGAACATATGTAGCCATTTAAAAAAGTGAAGAAACTTAATCAAAAACAAGCCCAAATTTCTTAAATATGAAAATTAGATTGAATTCTAGAACACTGGAGATTTTATTCCATGATACTGGTAAACATTCTCAAATGAAGGCTATTAAGGTCAAAAGTGATAGTAAAATAATCTTTTCAGCAATAATAAAGGCTAAAATAATGGGTTATATAATTTTCAGGTATGGCTACATGGCTAAGATAATTAACCATAATTATGAAAGTATGAAGTTACCTTTGATATGATCTTGTCAGGTAAAACAAGCATGTGAAAAATTAACTCCACAAATGATTGAGCATTTGGAGTCATCTGGAATAACTGGATTTAAAAAAATCACAGTATCTTTGAACTAGAACAAACTTTTCAAGGCCATCTAATTCAACCATTTCCCCATGTGGGATTGTCTTCAATCCCTGATGCAGAATTATTCTCTTTGACCTTGTCCAGTAGGTGATCATTATTTTATAGCAGCTTATTACAATTTTAAGAAAGTCAAAATGTTTTTACTTAGCCTGGGCCCATACCTGGCTTGTTTGGGCTAGCTCTGTCCTCTGCGACATGATGGAGCAAACATACTACCTCTTCCATGTAATAACCCTTCAGTAGCTAAGAGGGGGATGATGCTTTCACTAAGTCTACTCTCTATGATGTCTCCAGTTGCCTCAACTATTCCTCATGTATATTTTAAACCTCTTGTCATTCTTTTTTTTTTTTTTAAAGATTTTATTTATTTATTTGACAGAGAGATAGCGACAGAAGGAACACAAGCAGGGGGAGTGGGAGAGGGAGAAGCAGGCTTCCTGCTGAGCAGGAAGCCCAATGCGGGGCTCGATCCCTGGGATCATGACCTGAGCCGAAGGCAGACGCTTAATGACTGAGCCACCCAGGCGCCCCTCTTGTCATTCTTCTTAACACCCCCTTTGGTTCTACTCTAATTTGTCAATGTATCAGGTTTGGGTAAGTATTCATTTCAGAAATATTTCTTGAGAGACTACTATGTGCCAGGCATTGTCCTATGCACTTGGGATACACGAGTAAACAAAACCAATGAAGATTCAGGCCCTTGTGTAGCTCATGTTCGAATAGGAGAAGAAAATACAAAAAGGCGAATTATGGAGTATGATAAAAGTGCTATGGAATAAAGCAAAAAGCAAAGCAGAGTAAGAGGGATTGGGTACACTGCAGTTTAAAATAGGATGGCCAAAGTAGGCCCACTTACTGTGAGGATACCCAAAAGTGGTGAGGGAGTGGTCTAGGCAGGGAGAACCACCAATCCAAATGCCCAAAGGAGGGAGTGCACCTGGAATTTTCAAGAACTAGCAAGGAGACCCGTGTGTGTGCAGTAAATAGTAGATCAGATCAGAGAGGTGACAAGGCTGGGGTAGGCCATAAAGGGCCTTTTATTCTGAGTGGGAGAGGGAGCCACTGGAGAGTTCTGAGCTGAAGTGACATGATCTGACAACTTTAAAGGAACACTTGGTTGTTGTGTTGAGAACAGATTAGAAGGGAGCAAGCGTTTAAGAAAAAAAGGGGGGGCAGGGAGACCAGTTAGAAGGCAACTGCAGTAATCTGGGAGGGGAGAGATGATGATAGATGAAATCAGATGGAGGACGCCTGGGTAGCTCAGTGTGTTAGGCATCTGCCTTCAGCTCAGGTCATGATCCCAGGGTCCTGGGATCCAGTCCCACATCGGGCTCCTTGCTCAGCGGGGAGCCTGCTTCTCCCTCTGCCTGCTGCTCTCCCTGGTCGTTCTCTCTCTCTCCCTGAAAAATAAATAAATAAAATCTTAAAAAAAAAAATCAGATGGAAAAATAAAAAAGGTGAAAAGGAGATAGATTCTGAATATGTTTTGTTTCCTGCAGAAGTTTTACTGAGATATAATTAGCATATAACAAACTGCATGTTTAAAATGTATAATTTGATCAGTTTTGATGTTTATAAGCATAAAAGCATCACCGCAATCAAGATGATGAATATACCCATCACTCTCAGAAGTTTCCCTACGTCCCTTTGTCCTCTCCCTATCAGTCCCCAGGCAGCCACTGTTTCTGTCACTGTAGATTGGTTTTGCATTTTCTAGAATTTTATATAAATGGAACCAGACAGTACATACTCATTTTCCAACTTGTTTCACTCAGCATAAAGGTTTTGAACTTCATCCATCAAGTTGCGAGTATCAATAGTTCAGTCCCTTTTATTGCTGAGTGGCATTCCACTGTAAGGATACGCCACAATTTGTTTATCATTCATCTGTTTATTGACCATGGGTTGTTTCCAAATTTTGGCTATCACATAGAAAGCTGCTATGAACATGAACGTACAAGTCTTTGTATGGATACGTATTTCATTTCTCTTAGGTAAATACCTAGGAGTAGATTGGCTGGGTTGTATTATAGGAGTATGTTTAACTTTTTAAGAAACTGCCAACCTGTTTTCCAACGTATTTTATATTTCTAAAGCAATGTATCACTCCCAGTTGTTCTACATCCTCGCCAATACTTGGTATGGTTAGTTTTTTTGATTTTAGTCATTCTGATACATGTGTATATAGAGATCTCATTGTGGCATTACATTGTATTTCTCTGATGACTAATGATGTTGAGCAACTTTGCATGTACTTATTTGCCATCCACATATCTTCTTTGTAGAAGAAGTGTCTGTTCCGAATATTTTCCCATTTTGAACTGGGTTGTGTGTTTTATTATTGAGCTTTAAGAATTCTTCCCGAATAGGGAAAGGGGATTGATAGGTACAAACTCCTAGTTATAAAATAAATAAGACACAGAGATGTAACGTACAGCAAAGGGAATACAGTTAATAATATTGTAACAATTCTGTATGGTGACAGATGATAGCTAGGTTTTATCATGGTGGTCACTTCATAATGTATATAAATGTTGAATTATTATGTTGTATACCTGAAACTGATATAATATTGTATGTCAACTACAGTTCAAGAGAAGAGATTCTTTATGTAATCTAAATATGTAAGTCCTTTATCAGATACTCCCACAGTTCATAGCTTTTCATTTTCTTACAGTGTCTTTCCAAGAACAGAAGTTCTTAATTCTGAACATATTTTGGAGAGTGGCAGGATTTTCTGAGAGATTGATGTGGGGTGTGAGAGAAAGAGAGGAGTCAAAGACCACACCAAGTTTTTCAGCGTGAGCAACTAGGAGTCTGACACCAATGGAGATGGGGAAGAGATCAGGACTGTAGCTTTGATTATGCTTCAAATATCTAAAGTGGAGATTCAAGTAGGTACTTGGACATACAAGCCTGGAGTGGAGAGAAATCTGGGCTGGAAATGAATTTTTGGAGGGTCATAAACATTTAGAAGGTATTAAGTTGGCATTTAACTCTGTCCCAGCCACTCAATTTGGGACTTTCACAGGCATTATCCCATTTCTTCTTCTTTCGTTTTTTTTAATTAAAAAGATTTATTTAGAGAGAGAGCATGCAAGAACAGGGGGAGGGGCAGAGAGAGAGAGAGAGAGAGAGAGAGAATCTCCAGTAGACTCTGCTGAATATAGAGCCTGACTCGGGGCTTGATTTAATCTCGAGACCCTGAGATCATGACCTGACTTGAAATCAAGAGCTGGACGCTTATGCAACTGAGCCACCCAGGCGCCCCTCTCATTTATTCTTTAAAACAACTATATAAGATAGTAGAGAGAATGCTACACATTAATTATCTCAAAAGTCATGGCTCAAATGGACATAACTATCATCATCATAGTTAGCATGTATCGAGGGGCTTATTATGTGCCAGGCATTGTTCTAGTGCTTTACATGTTTATGTTACTTATTCTTCACAACAAGGTAGGAACATATCATTATATCCTATTATGCAGCTGGGAAAAAGGAGATGCATTATACCTGATGAAGATTAATTAGTATGAAGTGGACCTCTTAATTTTCTTAATCTGGATACTATATAATATTTGTAAATTAAGTTCAAGATCACATTATTATTTTATAACTAAAATTCATGTTTGCATGTGAGTCACTTCTAAAATTAATGTTTTGGTATCATATGCTGACAAAATTTATTTTTGAATTTAAATGTAGAATTTTATAGTCAATCCTGTCAAAATTTCACCTTATTATCACTGAAATTCCCCAGGAATGAATACAAACACTTTAAAATTTATTTTCTATATTAATGACTAAATGTAACAAGAGTTCTACTGGAGAGCAAAATTATATTTTTCTTGAGTGCACATACAATGCTTGATGTCAAAATGACTACAATTTGTACATCTGTCAGATTCTATATGCTAAACATCTTGTAAATGATTTTATTATCTTTAGGGACTTACTCTCCTTTTCCTGCACTAAGCCAGAACAGGTTCACCAATAGAAGACATAAGAATTTATCGAATAATTAACTAGCAGAGACAAGCATAAAATTAGCATTCTATGACAAGCAATGGAATCTTTTAATGGATTGCTGTTACTGTGGAAGATGGGGTGCGCGCGCACACACACACACACACACCACAATGGACTATTACTCAGCCATAAAAAAGAATGAAATCTTGCCATTCACAACAACACAGATGGACCTACAGAGTATTATGCTAAATTAAATCAGACAGAGAAAGGCAAATACCATAGAATTTCACTTATATGTGGAATCGAAAAGACAAAATGGGTGCCTGGCTGGCTTAGCTGGTAGAACATGTCTCTCAACCTCAGGGTCATGAGTTCAAGCCCCACATTGGACATGGAGCCTACTTAAAAAAAGAAATAAAAGACAAAACAAATGAACAAACAAAACCAGAAAAAGAATCATAAATACAGAGAACAAACTGGTAGTTGCCAGAGTGGAGGGTGGTGGCGGGGGGACAGGCAAAAATAGGTGAAGGGGATTAAGAAGTACAAACTTTCACTTATAAAATAAATAAGTCTTAGGGATGAAAAGTACAGCGTAGGAAATATAG